ATGATTTGGGATCAATTTTATAAAGGAGTTGGTAAAAAAAAAAATTCAATAGTGGCCTTAATTAATGCAAACTTTTGGTGGGAACGATGGTCCACTCTTGATCAACCACTTGTATTCTATGCCAATAGAGGGGATGACAGGGATTAACCACTCTGAGTGATTAGACAACACGTTCTTCCCAAAGGAATGTGAAATGTATCAACTTGGAGAAATCTCTTGCCAACTTGAGTGATTGATGGAACCAAAATGATTAATCCACCATGTGGAACTGGCGAAGATGGTTTTTGTTGGAGACAAACTAGGGATAGGTGTTTCAATGTCAAGGCAGCATATAATTTCTTGCAAAACCAGAGCAGTAGGCGCAAAACCTTTGTGGATGAAAATCCAGAAATGACTCTTTATGAGAAATTAAAATTTTTCTTTGGCATGTCACTCATGAGAGATTATTAACCAATTCACTCAAACCCATGAGAGGGCTAACCTTCAATTATCAATGTCCTTCTGAGTGTCACTGTGAGGAAGATATTATACGCATTCTTTGTGATTGTGACTCGTGAGATAGCTGCTAATGTTTGGGAGAGGTTTATCAATACTAATAATAATAATTTACATGCATTTTTTTCTGGTAATTTGCAGCTTTGGCTTTGGTGGAACATTGTCATCAAACCATGGAAATATAGTTTCAACAAATGGACTTAGATTAAGGTCTTTGGCAACACTTGTTGGCTTCGTATGGAAAGCAAGATGCAGGAGAATTTTTAAAAGCTTCACTATTACTTCAAATGATATATTGCATAAGGACTATATCACCTCATGGAAGAGAGAAAGCTGTGATAAGTAAAAACATGATATTTTTCGAGGACTTTTAGATAGTGCAGACAGATGGATTCCTCCCTCACAAGGCTATGTCCACGTGGATCTAGATGCATCCATTAACATCGCGTGTATTACAATATAATCAGGAATGAAGAAGGAAATTGGATTTTGGGCTTCAAAAGAAAGCTCAAATAAATTTCAGTCATAGGTGTTGAGTTGCTTGCTTTGAATATAGGACTCGAAATTTGTAGACAGCAAAGGATTTTCAAGGATTCATATATTTAGATTCTTTAGATGCCTTTAATCTCATATTTCAGTATTGTGGCTATGACCACCCATTTCATCAGGAGGTTAGTGAGATCAAAAATCTAATATATATTAATGATTGGGGCATAATAGTGAAACATACTACCAGGAAAATACTTAGATATACAAATCCTCTTTGTAATATTAGTAATTCAATGATAATGCAATAGGGTGTCACACCCAAAAAATCAGATGTGATCGACACAGGATATGAGTACAAAACTTGTAACACTTGCTCCGAGTGTTATCTAAAAATTACACAATTCAATAAATTAAGTGTGGTTAAGGAGTTGATCCTAAAACCAACTTAGGAAATAAATCATTTAAATCATCAAAAAAATATACCATCACAAAATAAACATTTAAAACCTTTAGAAATATTTATAAGTTCTACCTGTAGCACACGGAAGCAAGCTAGACAAAAGTGAGATAAAAAGTTGCTGTCATGACAGCATTAAATTGTTGCCATGACAGTCCTCCCTAGCCAATTTTCAAGAGGCGCCATTCCGCTGTTCGACCTCCAATCGAAATAATTTTAAAGCTCACACATCATTTTTAATGATTACTAGTAGTGTACCAAATTTGGCTAGTGCAATCTTTGGGAGGAAAGTTAGTTGACTAAAAAAATTAAGAACTTAATCAATATTAAAAATATAAGTAAGTTCTGACATACACAAAAGGTACAACGATTTGGGCACTATCATGAAGAGAAGATCAAATATCGATATATAAAAAATAAGAAGTCATTTATTAATATACAAAATGCTAGTTTGAGTTGTTAATATTTGAAAAGTAATTTATAAATTTTGAATGAATATTTATTAATAATAATATTTAAATTATTAAACATGAAAATATGAAAATATTTTGGTAATATTTATTAAATTTTATTTTAATAAGACTTTAAGGTACCAGGTGCTACTAGAAAAAGACTTTATGGTTCTCAATGCTCCTAAAAAAAAGTTTAGGAGCAAATTAATACCAAAGAACATAATCAGAATTTGACTTGTCACTGTGCCCAAGCCCCACGAATATGCCACATCAGCATATAACGATAGAGTTAATGGTTCATTAATGAAGAAGGTTTTTTTCTCCTCAAAAAAAAAAAATAGTTTGGGGGTAAAGTTGCCCCACTTAAGAGTATAAGGTGCTTAATGCTCCTAAAATATAAGTACAGGGGCAAAATTCGACCTTAACCGGTTTTAAAAAATCATAACTAAATCTAGAGAATTCGTATGATAATAACCTAAAATTCTATTGAAATCTCTTGAAGTTCTTGACTAGAAACAAAAATAGTTATAGCCTTTTCCCATGCCAAAAAGTACAGTTTATTGCTTTTCTATACTTACTCTATTTCTTGGATTGAATCTGTACCTTAAATTTTAAAATTCATAACTCATTATACAAAATTGCTTTTGTTCTGATTCTTGGCTTATTATAAACCTTGACAAGTTCTCTACATGAGAAAAATAAGAAATAAGACTTTAATTGAGCCAACTGGCACAGTAAATACATTCCCTAAAGTTGCTTTGTTTTCAAGACTGATTTTGACTCTTCACTTAGAAAATTAATAACTTAAGCTGCTGAGTCCAACTGATTTGGTTTTGAACTTTCTAGAAAGTGATGTCTGGATCATGCATGGAGATTATCAAAGTCAAAAGAATCCATTTACTATAAATATTTTAATGAAACATCAACAGACCTCTAAAAAATCCCGCATCAAAATGGCTTGACACTTACTTGTTTAAATCATAGCTTCAAGAGATTTCTATTTAAGGATGTGGGTTTGGCGACTTTTGGAAACTATTCATGGGAGGTGGGAGGTTAAAATATATATAGGTTTAGGTTTTCTAAGAACTTCAAGTTTTTTTTTTTTTTGGACTAAGAGATTAATGGTTTTTTATTTTCAAATTATATTATATAATATGTGTATATCTAGCTGAAACCTTTAGATAATATATATATATATATATATATTAATAAGATATATGTTATCTATTGTTAATTTATTTTATCCTCAATTTATCTTCATACATCTATCTAGTGGTTTTAGTTTTAGTTTTCTTTTTGGCTGTATAGTTTGTTTTATCTAATTTGTGATATTCTTTTATATGTAATCAATTTTTAAATGTCTCTATCTCTCTCTCTCATTTTTTCTTATCTTTTATTCTATGAGATGATTTTTTTTAAGTCTTCACATGTAAGGATAAATTTATGAAATAACTTTACTAACGACTTCACTGATGATTTTTCAAGATTGATCTTAGATACCTCTTTTATCCTCCTAGGCCTTATTTATTTCTTTTAGCCTATCTTGGACTCTTTTGAACCTTTAACTTGCTCATTCCTCAATTATGGACAATACACTTTCTTGACGTCTCTGAAAATATTATGTTTTTGTCACATAAAGTGTTTTAAATTATTACTTGGTGCTTAAGAGTAATTCTATCTTTTTAAGGAACTTTAGAGATTCCTGATAAATCAGGCCAAGTAGCTTACTAAATTATGGTGTATTCTTGAGTTTCTAGGCCCAAAATTCTTGATGTTACAACAGCAATGATTTATTTATTCATATTTCCAAATGAAAAAATGTCATTAGATTTTATTGGTTTGCATTTTTATTGGTCTAAATTTCTGGTTAGAAGAATGAGACTTGAAATGCCAAGCTTGCTAACTGCCCAATGATTTTCCCTGAGAAATTGTAGAGAGATAAACTAGGAATCTCATAAGTCTAAGCTTTAGAGAGTAAGGAATACCATAGTAGGCTATTTACCAATAAAATTTGAGCAACATTCCAAATTTTTGTCCAAAGTAGAAACTTGACTGTCCTCCACTGTTTTTGACATAAAATCGAAGCAAGTATCTAAATCTCTATATTAAGGCTTTTATGACAATAAAAGATGCCAAAAGGGATTCACTACATTATTATTAGATTTGACGAACCTTTTAGTATGTAGAACTATTATGAAAGAAAATATTTTCTTTTCTTGTCAGTGATGGACATCTAACCTAAAGTTTACTCAATATGAACAAATTAAATTAGCTCATAAGTGAGGTGCCGCTTTTGCAAATAAGCTCATCCATGCATTTTTTGATTGAAAATGTAGTTTGTAGAATCTTCTTCAATGTAACTCTTGAGTTAAAAATATTAAAAAGAATAATCACCCTGTTCCACTTCTTCCAAATTAAATTATGTTGTATTAGTTGTCTATAATGACCCTAAATTTTAAATTAAACAAATCCTCCTCCAATTGATATTTAATGTATTTATTTTAATCTTATGACAAATGAGGAGTAGCAGCCTAGTGAAATTTATACTTGTTATTTATATGGAGGTCTAAAGTTTGAATCTTACTTAAGCCAAAGGTTAGTTTTATTTTCTTATATGGGAAATTACTAAAGTGCCCTTGATTTTTTATTATAAAAATATTATAATAACAATAATAAAAATTTGGTGGGGTCTCCTTTTGAAATTTACCCAACAAGCTTTAGGTCTTGTTTTGTAGTTTTCTCAATGAGCTTATTATTTCATTCTCTCCATTCTTCTTGCCATTTAGAAGTTACAGGATATAGAGAGAGAGAGGGGGGACCATTCTCGTCTGTCCCTGTTATATAAAAAGTTTAATTCATTTTATTTTGTTTAACATTGCATTTGTTAAATAAAAAGTTTAATTTATTTAACAAATGCATGAACTCCGTTGTTGCTCATAAATCGCATGAAGCATGTCATATATGATGTAACAATCATTACAACCACTAATTTTCTTCCATGTTTGGTGAAAAAACATGCATACATCATACAAGTAATGTACCAAGCATGTTTTTGAAAGGAAATATGCAACATAAATTGAAAATAGAGTATTGCTTGTTTAATGATGTCAACAATGTTGTCTTTGCATAATCATGTTCTTGATCTTGTTTAATGACACAACAACATCTATCATATTGCTTCGCATTTCAGGAAAATCATTGCAACAATGTAATGCCAATTCAAAAATACTGGATGCGGAAGTCAATATTTCACCAATATATTGATCATCTCCCTGCAATAAATTGGAATCTATGACATTAATCATTTCATGTAGCATTGAGTCACTTACCCAATTCTTCAAGTTCAATCCTGAGACAAACATGTCTTCTGTTGGTTTTTTTCGTGTGAACACTTCCATTAATATAATTCCATAGCTATACACATCTACTTTTGTTGAAACAACTCCAGTAGATCCATATTCTGCATAGAATTGGATTCAAGCACCAAAAAATCTATTTATTTCTCATAGTCATAATTTACAAACTAGAAATAAATTAAAAATACACATTTAATTAAGATAAATTGTTCAAAACTGATCATTTGTATTGGTGTTTCTTGTGTAATCATTACGCTATTATTTTTTATATACAATTAAAATAAAGCAATCCTTGAGAGACTTGTTTTTAGATCCAACAAAAGTGCATGTTGTAGTGATTTGCATCCCCCTCTCTCATATCATGTACATACACATAAAAATAAATAAAGCAACCAAGCTCAATGAATGCAAAATACAGAAAATAAGAAATCTTTTTGGTTGCCTATTTTATGAAAGAACCTTCCTCAAATAAAAAATTAGAATATAAATATATATATACATATATTCAAGTGTACTTTTCTCTATATAAGAATTTGGAGGAAATGGCTTCAAGTATTTATTTGACAGGTGACTTTAATGAAAATCATTTAAACTTCTTATCAATAGAGACTAAATCAACAAGATCTAATGCTTTGTGGACACAACCGTAGTATTGCTCAAAGAAAGTAATGAATATTTTGTACATTGATTTTTCTATGATATTGCCAAGTTAAATAATAAGTGATAGAGTATGAAAGATTTCATAAGTATCATTTAACAAGGTGACTCCCATGTAATCTAAAAGAAATTAAAAAAAATGCATTCTCAAAAAATAGATGCAAAAAGAACACGATGAAGCTAAGTTTAGGATAATTACCAGGTGCTATATATCCAATTGTAGGTATTGTTTCTGTATGTATTTTAGATTGCCCTTCATCTAAAAGTTTGGAAATCCCAAAGTCACTCACATGAGCAACCATATCACCATCCAACAAAATGTTACTTGGCTTCAAGTCACAATGAACTATTGGTGCTGATAAGCCATGATGGAGATACTCCAAAGCAGATGCCACATTTATCATTACATTTAGCCTTTGTAAAAAATCCAAACAATAATTGTGAGAATACAACCATTTTTCAAGGCTCCCTTTAGGCATGAACTCCATTATCAAACATTTGAAATCAACATTGGAACAACTACTTATGATCTTCACCAAATTATAATGACGCACATTACGCATTGTGTTGCATTCCACTTCAAAGAACCTTGACATTTTTTCAGAATCAAAATTAAATACTTTAATTGGAACCATCATCCCATTCAAAAGCTTTCCTTTGAACACTTCACCATAACTCCCCTTTCCAAGAAAGTTACTCTCATCAAATCTATTAGTTGCTTCTAGAATTTCAAAATAAGAAATCCTCCTTGGCCCTCCTAAAATAGATAAGTCCCTCTCAATTGGTTCTCTTAAATTTGATTGCCTTTGTCTTACAAGAATAATGCCCAAGACAATTAAAATTATTGACACAACCATGGGTGATATGCATTTTAGTAAAAGTGATTTTGCCCATGAACATTTTCTTCTTCCCTTATCACAGTGAGGCACTTTTAGTTGTGGACGGCCACAAAGAGCTTCATTCATGATGAAAGATTCAGCAGTCAAATTTGCAAAAACTCCACCACTTGGAATCTCTCCTTGTAGTTTGTTGTAGGAGAGGTTGATATACTTAAGATAAGTAAGTGACTCCAAGGATTTGGGGATCTCACCAACTAAATTATTCTCAGAAAGGTCTAAATTTACTAAGCTCAGCATATTTTCAAATGATTTAGGAATATTTCCTTGCAAATTGTTATGTGCTAAGGAGAGATCTTGCAAGTTCTTTAGTCCACCCAAAGATGTTGGAATATTGCCTGAAATATAATTTCTTGACAAATCCAGTGATATAAGAGAATTTAAGTTTCCAATACTGGATACATTTCCAACTAAAGTATTGGAAGATAAGTTTACTTTCAATATGTCTTTCAAATTCCAAAAGGAGGAGGGTATTTTTAAAATTAACTTATTAGAGTCTAAGTAAAGTTCTCGTAAAGAGGTAACATTTCCTAAACAATGTGGTATTCCTCCAGAAAACTTGTTTCTGCTTAATGATAAATAGGCAAGCTTTGTGATTTCACATATCTCATCAATGATTAGGCCATGCAGCTCATTGCCTTCAAGATTCAAATATTGAAGATCCTGTAAGCCACCAATTACTTTTGGAATTGATCCTGTCAAAATATTTTCTCCCAAGTATAGTTCATAGAAACTAGTGAGATTCCCAAAATTTGATGGAAGATGGCCAATTATAGAATTGTTTCCAAGACTTAAGTATCTCAAAGTTGAAATGTTAAAAATATTGGACGGAATAGATCCCCTCAACTTGTTATCTGACAATGATAATATCTTAAGCTTATGGAGATTGCCTATTTCCATAGGTATTAAACCTGTATTCAAAAGATTAATTTTAGTGAAGTTATTTAAAGTGAATAATAAAAATAGTAAATAAGACAAATATCTAACAAATGAGATGTATCATTGTCAATACTCCTTTATATATTAGGTCAGTCAAGTGCTACATATAGAGTTTAGCTTTCTCCCCACACACTAACAAGATGGACACTTATCTTTTACATAGATTCTTTAAATTATTTTTATAAATATAATTCAACTTATAAATAATTTAAAAAAATAATTCTGTTAAAATAAATAAAGATCAAGACTTTTTATTTATTTGTACCATAGGCGAGCATTGTAATCTAAATATAAAAATTAAATCATACTTTAGTTTTTTGTCTTAAACATGCCTCCACTCCAACATTCAATGGTTGAAACTGAGAAAACTTATTAATATTTAAGATTAAATTTTCAATTTCAAATATCACAATCTCGTACAAAATATCTTTGTAATGGGGTAACGGATGAAAAAAAAAACTAAAAATTAATGTTTCCGCTTTTGCACAAAATTAAAAACATGAGAAGTTGAAAAAATGATTGTAGCAATTATATGTAATTTTTTAAACTGTTAAAACATGTCTACAATGTTTAGGTTTTTAAGATCACCAATTTTATTAGGAATATTTCTTGTAATTAAGCAACAGATAAAATAAATATATATAACAATGCTATCATTTGCTGAATGAATACCTTCCAAGTTATTGGAACCCACAATTAACTGTTGAAGCATGGTCAAATTTCCAATACTTTTGGGTATATGACCTAAAAGAAGATTGACACTTAAAAGCATAAGGGACAGTACATTAATTAAAGCACAAATTGTGTAATGCCATTTAGAAATCACAAATTAGCTAGGCATAAGGTATTCCCAATATTTTCACTCATTTTAAGAAAATACTATTTCATTGTTAACTTTGTTAAAAATCCAAATATTCTAGTTTTACTTGTTTTTTGATACTGTAGTTTTTTAAATAAAGGAATTATTCTAGAACAAAGGAATTAAATAATTTTTTAGGGAAATAATACTCATCAGGCTTATGTCTCAGACCAAGTAGCCTAGTATTCTAACAGGACATAACATATGGTATCATAAGTTAAGTAAGACCCATCATCATCATCATATAAATTTTTGGCTATAATATATTGTTTGAGAATAAGACCATGTAGTTTGCCTAACTAAAAAAGTTATTTTTGTGGTGACAGTTCATGAGCTGATAGCATGAGCTCACTCAAGATCCTGAACAATTCATATGATGACATCACACATATATATATATATATATATTGCAGTATTGAAGATCATAATTTTTAAATGTTCATTATCTCGGCAATTTCTTTAAGAATATCTCTAACAATATTATTATAAAAGAACAAACAAAAAATGAAAATAAACAGGCAATGTTTTCATTTAAAATGATGCAGAGAAAATCATTTAAGACAAATATGGCTAGTAATGCATGGGCTATTGAGCTTTTACGTATTTAATTTTTTTATTTTTATCTTCAAACAGGTTTGATAGGGGAAACTTTTATATTTATTTATTTATTATGAAAATAATTTGATTTGTTTTAAAAAGAACTTCATTTATGTGAAAATGAAAAAAAAAATAAAACATTGTTTATTTTCATTCTCCCTTTCTTCTACTCTCCCTCTTTCTTTCTAATACATGTGAAATCTTTTCAATTATTACTTGATTTAACCTCCTTATTTGCAAGATATGGAATTATTTTGCAAACAAAATAGAAAGTTGGATACATAAAAAATTATTTTAATCAAAATATGTCATTGAGGTTCATATATACAAGGGTACAAACAGATAGTGTTTTTATTATGTTTATAGACTTTATGTTTTTTATTTAGGCTCATATACAAGGGTATGTAATATTTTTTCCATATATGAGGGTGGAAATTGGAAACAGGGCAATTGGTTGTGAGCTGATGCAAGCTTTTTCGAACAAAAGAATTTAAAAATTATATAAATTATTTTTATATTTAATGAAAATAATATCAAATTTTTATTTTACTTTATTTTTTCCAAAACATGTTTGATATGGGCTCTTAAAATGTTGTTTATTTTTGTACATATAAATTAATTTGCCAAAGTAGATTTCCATTTAAATGAAAATAGGATATAAAGAAGTCCAATTTGTTTTATTGTTTTGATCAATACCAATGTCAAGTGCATAAAAATACAATCAGAATATATTTGATAAGGTTGAATTTAGAGATTTGGCAAAGTGAGAAGTATATGCCTTTGAAAAAGTTGTATTCTAATGATAACTCCTCGAGGTCCTTGCAATTTGCCCAACCAGATGGTATAGGTCCAAATAATTTGTTATCTTGAAGAGCCAAGTATTGTAAATTTGGAAGTCCATTGCATATATTAGAAGGAATGCCTCCCGACAAATTATTCCAACTTAAATCAATAACCCGTAACTCAGACATATTAAAGATAGCTAATGAAATTTGGGCAGAAAACTTATTTCCGCCTAAATATAAGAGTTCTAGACTTTTAAGATTACCAATCTCTTCAGGAATATCTCCTACAATGTTATATAAAACAGATTCATCAAATTTATTGTAGTCGATCAAAGTATAACTCTTGAAGTTGGAAATAAAAGAGAAAAGTAAAACATAAGATAATTTTTAAAACTATTAATAGCTTATTCTTCATCAATCTTTGAATTAGGAAAAGGGAAGTCAAAACAAGATAAGATAATGAAAACAAAAGAGGAGAAGAAGTTGAGATAGAGCTGCAAAAGACATAGACAGTGTATAATCTGATAGTTCAATATCTATCTCTTATCCATCTCTCTTGTAGAGAATTAAAAGGAAAATCTTCATCGTCTTGATGTGTGAAAAATAAATAAAAAGAAACTATTGAGGGGGAAATCTTCATAGAATCATTAAGAACAGTATTATATTATTACCTATACTTTTTAACCCAGAAAACAGATGTAAATAGAGTAAAGAATTCTTGTGCATGTAAGATAAATCTGAATGTATAGTTAAGTTGAAAATTTTGACAGTAATGCATCATGAGCTGCTGGGTGTATAGTTGAGTTTTCAATGTTAGTTAAGTCAAAATTATTACAACAACAAAAATAGAAATCACTAAAAAATTTTATTGCATATAACAACATCATATCTCGGTCCTGTCTAAAAATTGGCTTCCCAAGCAAGCATCCCTAAAATTAAAAATAACCAAATTTTTATGCATAAAGAATTATTACAACAGGAAATTTCACAGTGCACAAACTTATTGATACCTCGTAATTAAAGAAAAGGTGAAAATGAAAAATAAAGCACATCTTGTTCATAGTAATTCTTAGAAAATAATCTAAAAATGTTGCAAAAGAACATAATATGAACAAAAACAACTCAAATGCTGCAGAAGAGAAGATATCCTAACCAATGTCACTAAAATTAACAATAACTAAAGTCTCTTTTTAGCTAACCAAAACTAAAGTATTTTTATGAATAAAGAATTATAGACATAGGATATTTAGCACGCACACAAATGTAATAATAACATAAGAATTTTAGTAAGAATTAAATTTTATGGTAAGGTATTTTAAGAGTATTTTTTTTATAAAATTTGAGGTAAATCTATCAAGAAAAATTGGGAGTTCAATGGAAACTCTGCTGGTAGCCTATCATAAGGTTCTTTGTTCAAATCCTTGTTGTGAAAGAAAAGGATTTTTTTTGTTTTGATTCAGCGTTGAGAAATTACTATATTTGATGGACACCAAAGTGTTGCAAATTTCACAACACAATTCTTGTGCATTTGGAGCCATGAATCTGAATATGTAGTTGAGGGGTCTAAAGTATAATTATCAAAGAAAGTGAAGATGTAAATAAAAAAAATAAGTTTGTGGAGTATTAATTGAATCAAAATAAAAAAAATACTCATGCATACCTTTCAAGGTATTAAAATAGTAATTATGTTTGAAGAAAAAAAAGGTAGAAATGACTTTAAACTAAAAAAAATGAGAGAGATTTCACTAACACATCTTCACTGCACTATTATTCATATATATTTTTTATTTCACAAAATGGTTTTCCAAACATGTAAAAACTTTCTTGGAGCATGGTCTAATTAGCATGAGTTAATGAAATGATTATCAAGGCATTATTCTTACACATGATTTTTCCTGGAAATATAATTTCATTCAGGAAAAGAAAAAGAGGGCTCATTTTAGTACAGATGCATAATAAGAAATCGTAAAAACAAAAATGAGTAGCACTTACATATTTTGTTAAAGAAGAGCTTTTATTCAATAAAAATAAGATAAAGGTTTCCCATTTTATCTAAGCAAGAAATATATCCCAAGGAATATATAATACCAAAAGATAGATTAAAGTACAAGAAATTTGAATATAAAAATTGGAACATAGTCTTGTCATTTTTTTCCCCAACAATTCTCTAGATAGAGGCACGAAGAAAAAAGTATCACAACAAGATAGATTGCAAAAAATTATATGCGTTTTATGTATGATGTACAGGTTAGACACTAAATTAAAAAATTTTAAAATATTATACTTCATTATCAAAACATTTAAATCTAACTGATAAAATAAAGTATGGCTTTTTTGGCTTTTATATATTCTCTTTTACTCTTCAATTTTTAATACATATTTTGTTGAGCTTCGCATAACTTTTACCAAAAAATTTAGACTATCCACACAGTGATGGTTCACGTTTTCAATTTTTTTTTTGGGTGAAATCACATATTTGATTTCAGATAGAAGGAATTTTTCCAGATTGTATTATTGATTTGACAAACTAAGAGCAACGGCTTTTAACTAGTAAACTTAAACTTGTTTTTATGTCTGGCCGAAAAACTTTTGTCTCAATTATTAAACAACTATGATAATGATTGGACATTTACAGTACTTCAACATTAATATATAAATCTATATATACACACATTTCAAATATTACCTACAATTTTGAAATTCTAATGAGGGTCTAAATAATAATTATGTAGATAATAACTTTCACTTGAGAGAAACTTTATATAAAAAGATTATATATTCAACATCATTCCACAATTCAAAGTTTTTTTAGATTTTTTCTCAAAAATTGGCTTTCCAGACAAGCAACAGAGACCGACTTCTGAGATTGAGAAAAGAGAAGTTAAAGGAAGATAAGATAACAAAAACAGTAAAGAAGAAGTTGAGACAGCTACAAATTAAAGACAGACAATCCATAATCTGATAGCTCAAATTAAAAGGAAAATATTCATAGAATTGATTATTGAAAAATAAATAGAAGAAAAAGAAACTATTGAGAGAGTTAAATGAAAAGAGCATGGATTTGGAAGGATAAATCTTCATGTAATCAATAACACTATTGCATGCTTACCTCTGTTTTGAAGTCCAAAAAACAGAGTAAGATAATTCTATGATATTTGATGGACACCAAAGTGTTGTAAATTTCACAACACAATTCTTGTGCATGTAAGCCACAAATCTATATGTTTAACTGAGGGCTCTAAAGTACAACGATCAATGATGATGAAGATGTAAATGTAAATAATGCCTTTCATGTTGCTTGCAAGAGCATGAGATGGTAGAAAGCAAGAAATAGATAATGATGGGTCGTGATGTGAATGTGTTCATATTTTTACACTACTACAGAATATATATTTAGGAGCGGGTATTTAGGAGCGCTTCTTTAAAAAGCGCTCTTAAATGTAAATGCGGAATTTACCGGAGCGCTTTTTTAGAAAAGCGCTCCTGTATGTCAGGGCTTTTCAATAATCTTCCGGAGCGCTCTTCAAAGAGCGCTCCGGAAGATCAACTCTTTTAGAGCGCTCTTGGAATGAGCGCTCCGAAAGAGCTCATCTTTCGGAGCGCTCTTTTAATAAGCGCTCCAAAAGAGTTGTTCTTCCGGAGCGCTCGTCAAAGAGCGCTCCGAAAGAGAGATCTTCCGGAGCGCTCTTTGAAGAGCGCTCCGGAAGACCACCTCTTCCGGAGCGCTCATTCATGAGCGCTCCGGAAGAGGTGGTCTTTTATATCTCTGCCTCCCGTCAGTTTTCTTTTCCCTATTTATGAGTTTCTTTCAAACCTCTCTCTCATTTGCTGAGGTTGTGCGTTCCCAACGAGTTCTAGATCATCGCTGTATCAGTCTATCTTCCGTCGCTGTTCACTGTTCCAGATCGTCGTCCGCCGCTGTTCGCTGTTCCAGATCGTCGTTCGCCACTGTTCGCTGTTCCAAATTATCGTCTGCTGCTGTTTGTTGTTCCAGATTAGTGTTCATCACTGTTTGTTCATTTCTGTGTCATGTCGCGCCATCTGTCTCTATTTTTGCGCTGCCGTCGCCGTCACCGCCATCTCCTGCATCACTATTCTAGATCTACATTGCTGTTCCAGATTTGTGCGGCTGCTGTACACCGGAGGAAGCGACACCATGAAGACCTCCGTTGTAGCCGTGTGTCATTGCTGTACAGCCGAGGAAGCAACGCTGCAAAGACCTCCGCTACTGCCGTGAAGACTTCCGTTTTCTGCCGTGAAGACTACACTGTGAAGGTATTTTTTTAATAATTAATTTATAATGTAATATATTGATATATTTATATATATTTGAGAATAAATTTTATATATATTTTTTTAATAATCAATATTATAGATAATATATGAATTGGAGTTATTTATATTAGAATTATGGAGTATTTGTAGTTGATAATTAGATTAAAGTTGAGGAAACTACTTGAACATTTTTATTTTATTTATGAAATATACTTTTAACGGAGATTATTGTTATTAATTAAATTACAATTGATTGACAGAATTTAGATGTATGCTACTAAATTTTTATTTGGATGAATTAATTTTTTGAGTTTAAATGTATTGTGTTGTGGAATTTGATTGTTTGATCATTTGGGAGGTTCTTCTTTTAAGGAAGATGTTGTTGAATTTTTTTTATAGAAATCTAAGTCTTTTGTTTATTGAATTTTGATAATCATATTAGTGATATGGATCATAAGTGGATGTCGGCTAATCAACTATCTAGAGAATATTGGGATGGTGTGGATGAATTCATTGAATTTGCATTTTGTTGTGATCAAGACCCCCTTGGAGTCATATGTCCTTGTTTGAAATGTTGCTATGGAAAAAGAGTAAAGCCAATAAAATTGAAAGATCATTTAATCTGTAATGGGATTGATCCAACTTATACTTGTTGAACCATGCATGGGGAGACAAGGAATGATGCAAATGATTGGAGGGATAGTGCGAGCTACTCAACATTTGATCGTGATAGTGGGACATATGATGTTGACCGTCTTGATGAAATGATTCATATATATAACTTCATCGCTGAAGTATTTTAAATTAAGTTAGAATTTATTTTCACCATATTTTGATAATGACATCTTTTATTGTTTTATAGGTACCTACACAATTACAAGGTTGGGAGTGTGGATACTATGTTATGAAGTTTATGAGAGAAGTAATCACACAACAAGAGTTGATCATTCCTGAAAATGTAAGTCAAAAACTTTAAAATTAAGTTGATATAATGTTAATTCCTTATATATTGCTTTCATATCTTGTGTAGTATTTTGTTGGAGTAAGATGTTCGTATTTTACTATGGAGCAAATAGAAGATTTAGTTGAAGAGTTGTCAGAATATATTATTGGCTGTTTGTGATAGGAAGTTAGATTTCAATGTTAGAAAAATAACAATAGTTTCATTTGTTAGGCTTGTTAGAAATTAAACTAGGTTAGTTAGGAAATTAAAATTTTTGTATCAGTTTCAAATTCTTTTCTTGTATATAAATTTTTATGTTAATATTATTTTTAAATTAGTTTTTAATATTATGATTTGTCATTATTAAAGAGACGTAAAAGGAGAAATTTCAAAAAATCTGATTTAAAAAAAATTAAAGTAATATACGGGAGCGCTCATTTGAAAAGCGCTCCTGTAAAGTAACATATAGGAGCGCTCTTCCAGAGAGCGCTCCTATATGGTTCATACGGGAGCGCTCTTTATAAAAGCGCTCCGGTATGGTTGCATACGGGAGCGCTCTTGTAGAGAGCGCTCCCGTATGTAGCTCCCTTACAGGAACGCTGTTCGAAAAGCGCTCCCGTATAGCGTATATACAGGAGCGCTTTTTTTAAGCGCTCCTATACATTTCGGAGCGCTCGATACGAGAGCGCTTCAAAAGCGCTCCCTAAAGTAAAAAAAAAAAAAGCGCTCCTGTAAACTTATTTTGTAGTAGTGTTAAATTTAGAAGGTCACCCAAAATTCCTTAGGGTTATTGCTTGTCATATGATTAATGAACTCAAATGAAAAGGACAAAAAGAAAAAACATGTTTCTAGTGGTGCTAATAAATTTATTTAAAAATCTAAAAAATATTAAAAAAATATAAATATTATATTTTTCTGAAGGCATACCTTGTAAATTATTCTCATTAAGGTCTAACATTTGAAGTACGTTCAAACTCCCAATTGCTTTGGGAATATCTCCTATAATTTAAAAATAAAATTTTGCAAGGAAAAAAACTTATACGTAATATATTTTAGCATCATAATAAAGCTATAAACTTAAATACCAACAATGATTAATGATGACATGATCAAATGAAAAGTTATGATCTTAAAAAATTGAACTGGACTAGCCATTTTAATCAGTTGAACTGGAACTAGCTCTTGGCCCATTCCAGTACAATGGTCAAAAGTGGACACTAAGTGAATTGATCAATGACCGAAAAAGTGATATAATGTTGCAAATGAATTCTTACATAATACATGATGTGGTTAATTATTATGCATTCCTAAAAAAATTAAAAAACAACAACCAAATTTTGAAGTCTCTTTATCTTTCCTACGCCTTTGCCTTACACCTCAAATATAGACAAATCTTGGCACTATGTATTGAGGAATATGCTTGCCTCTTTCTTTCAGCCCATGAAATAGAGATGTTGATTCTGGTTTATAGGGACTAATGTTTTCTATTTTTCAATTTATTAATTCTTGTTTACAGTTTAAGGAAAACAACTGATATCGAGATTTTATATTTTAATATTGGTGTAGATATTAACATTGTCACACTAGTGATTATGTTCCAACTGACAAAAGAAGAACAAAAAGGAATGAAATGATCGATAGCACCAAACTATCATTTACTAATAGCGTATCAAATTTCCAATGCATCTTTATGTTGCCAAACAATTAATTAAAACCCAAAAATAAAGTCATATAAAAAGTGAAAATGAATAAAACATAATATACTAAACAAATGGTATTAGACAAAAAACTTTCTTGATACCAAGAGACAGACTTTGTAATTTTAAAGTTTCATGAAATGTGTTATAATGATGCAATATAACTTTGAGATAATTGAGAATATAAAAAAAAAAAAAGACTACTAATTTTGGAATGTATTCCATGAGAAGATAGTGCTGTAAGTGAGGGAGTTAACTAGCACATGCAAAATCATTTTACATGTGCCTCTATTAAACTTGCAAAAACTAAAACCTCTTTTGTAAATTCAATGGAAAAAAAATAAACCTTATATTTCAAAATAAAAAGACATGCAGTTCAATATAAATTAAATATCTTGGATCATAACACAATTCATAAGCCAAATACATCATATTGGCTTTTTATACAATATATATTTTATATGGATAAATTTTGATAAAAAATATAATATGTCATTTAAATTTCACTTATATTGAACTTTATCAATATACTGAATGTTGTTGACTTATTTTTCAAGAAAATATAACATCCAAAAGACTATCTATGAAATATTTCAAGGACATTATGTTAATGTCTTTCTAAAATAAAAATACTTAATAATTACACGTATATTTTAAGATATACCTGTTCAATTTTTAGTTTGTACAAATAGTTTGATCCATGCAATGTACAGAAAGAAAAAAGTTATGTTGTAGTGCAATTGAACTAAGAAAATCAATGATAATTTTATTAACACTTTGATGTCTTTGATATGAAATATGAACACATTTTGAACGTTTCCTCACATCTAGAATTCTAGCAATAATAATGTATCAAAAACCATTAATTATACAAGAATTTGACCAATTAATGAAAGTTAGAATCAGAAATAGAGTTAATATCTTGGTTGCTAGTATAGATTGGTGACATAATCTAATACAAAATGTGAATTATATTGCTAATCCTACTGTAAAACTTTTGTAGTGCCACATATCATTTAAGGTTCATTTTATTCTACTTTATAACTAAAGTATTTCAATAAGTCTCTAGTTCTAATCAATGTTTGCAAATAGTAATTAAAAAGAATCATTCATATATAAAAATAGAAGTTCTGGAACACACACAAATGTATAACCAAAAGGAAAAATTGGTAGAGAAATATATATATATATATATATAGACACACACACACACACACTGAGAAAACAATTAAAGAGGGAAAACATATAGTAGCTATAACATCATAATTTGATGAAAAATTACCTGGCATATTGCTTGGAAAAAGATTAATGATTAAAGATATAAAATTTAAATTTGTCACACAGCAGTTATATTGAGAATATTTTCTATGTATTTGATAAAGATATAAGAAAAGTTCCTAATGCTCCAAGTGTTCATGTCTGGTGAATTCATTTTTAACAAATCAAAATTTTAAAATGTAGAAGAAATGTTTCAGGATCATCCTTTTAATTTTCTGTAAACTTGTTAAAGAACAACTTGAAGACCCTTAATTTTAGGGGACATATATATTTATATAATATAGCCCACGAATGAACTATCTCAAAAAATCGCACAAATATGATAAAAAGTTACACATTATGTGATTATGATTAGTTGAAAGTTCACCTTCAATATTATTTCCATTAAAGTCTAGCCCTTGAAGTTTTTGTCATGTTTCCAATATTCCTTGGTATTTGGCCAGACAACTTGTTAGCACCTAGAAGTAATTTTCAAGTTTGTGAGGTCACCAATTGTTTGAGGAATATTTCCTGCAATGTGATAATAAAAAAACCATATTATTATGAATTCTCATGTATAATTATGATAAAAGAAAAATAAGTAACAAACATAAATTTATGAATGCATTTTTTAAAGTGATTGTGATTATGATATAATAACGCTTGAATTTTGTATTTAAAAGAAACCAGAGTCCGGAAAAATAATGAAGCTTTTAAGTCATACAAAATTTTGTTATATATAACCTCTAATTTTAGCTCTATTGTTAACTGTCACAAAACAATTCATCAGCATAAACATACAAAATTAG